AGATAAGGTTTCTGAGGAACCTGGGGTCCTAGTTTCAGTGCAAAGGCTCAAGTCACCTTCTGTGCCACACAAAACCATGATCTGGATCTCAAATGCCCTATTCCAGGCTATTTGGTGGGGTAGAGGCCAGTCTCTTTTACTCTATGAGGCCTAAGGGCTTGGCAAAGATTTCCAAGGGTCCAGAGTAGGAGTAAAGGGGAATGCAGAGAACCAGGTCCACCTAAAGGAGAGGAGACTCATCTTATCTCTGGTGTCATCTACCAACAGGCTGAACCAAGGTCAGTCTGGCACCTGCTGGATCAAAGTGATCTCAATGAATACACCCAAAAGCCAGACATGCAGTTGGAGCACAGACTGGGAAGGGGCTGGGAGTAGAGAATATGTTTGAACCTTGGCTTTGGAACCATCCCTTCTTCCCAACCAACTGTGAATTGGCATGGCTACAGTGCAATAAGACTTCTAGGCCTTACCCACCTGGGACTTGATCTGACCAAGCCTGACATGTGGTTCAGCCAGGATAGGGGGAGAGAAAAGTGTGTGAGAGCTCAAGTCCCACCCAGGATTTGCCCTAAGACTGATACACAGATAGACTGGCTTAGAAAAAATAAAATATTCTTGGGGACAAGAGAGTACTGGGACCAACACAGACCCCAGCTGGTCTCAGCTAGGAGGCAGTGGGGGCAGGGGAAAAGCAGAACAGAGGAATGGTGGAAATAAATCAGCTGGGCAAGAGTGGATTTGCAGGTTGAGGTAGGCAGGGTCAGGGGATGCAGCCAGTTTGAGCTTGGAACCTCAGTTTTCTCATCTCTAAAACAGGTGTATAAATATCAACTTCCAGGATATTGTGTGACTTAAACCAAGATAATATAGAACCAGACGTAAAAACACCTGTCTATCTTTAGTGCCTGGTATATAGCAGGTGTTCAAGAAATGATAGCTAGGGAATGGATGTGTGTATATCTGTGAAGAGCGTGATGGTAGAGGCTATGGATTGTCTAGGGGACAGACAGGAGGAATAGGGCAGGGCTGTCCCAGTTGGCCTCAGGTTAGGATTTCTGTCATTTTGCTTTTGCAATTATTTGCTCTAGCTATGTCTGATGGCTCACCAAGGTCTACATCTTGGCACACGCTCCTTTCCAGAGCCCTGGGATATCAGCATAAAATCATGATTAGAAGCTCAAGGATTGAATTTTTAATTCCACTTTCTAGCTGTGTGGCCTTGGGTGAATTACTTCACCTTCTCTATGACTCAGAGTACAAGGCAGTCAGAGAGCGGTCAAGGACCAGGTCCTCACAAATAGAGAAAGCATGTGTGTGCATTGTGCACATGTGTGTATGACAGTGGACATGGGAAATGTGGGGGTTTCATGGAGGCAGGAACCAGGTGTGCGACCCAATGTCAAATAGAAGAAAACATTAATCTGTGAATATGTGCGAAGGAGAATACAAGTGTGAGAGTATCTTAAAAGGAGAGTGTCTTAAAAGGAGATTTAAAAGTGTGCATGTGGCATGCAAAGCATGTGTGAACAGGTGAGAATACATGTGACTGAGGATGAGGGTGTCTCTGTGGGAGGCTCTATGGAAAAATCACAGTTTCCACTTAGTAAGCACTTGTGATGAGCCAGACATGATGCTAATCCCTTTATGTGCATTTTTTCACTTACCCCTCACTACAGCTCTGTGAAAGATTGATGATCTCTAGGTTACCGTAAACTGAGACACCTAGGGGTTAAGTGACTTGCCCAAGGTGATACAGCTAAGTAGTAAAATATGTGGCTCTGAAGTGTATAGCTCCCTATCTCGCATGGGTTTAGGAACCTGAACTCAGAAGGAGCTGGTCTGTAGCTCACTGGGGGCTGCATGGTGCCTGAAATTCCAATGCATCCCTGGACTTGGAGGCTTCCAAACACTGATTTTGGTTGACTTTGGATTTTTATGAGCTTTCTACATGTCTGTCTGTACCCACAAGACGGGGAGGTCCTTAAGACATAACTGGATGAGCCTCCTTTCTGAGTCACCAGGGCTGGCACCATTCAGAGGCCAGCACAGAATCGGAGCTCAGGAAATGCTGGTAGACTTGAATATGTATGTGTGTATGTGTGTGTGTGTGTTTAAATGGTGACACAGTGATCTGGGAGGTTTGGGTGGGGGAGTGGAGTGGCCTGACTTCCAGTGGAGAAGGGAGGTTTTGGGTAAAGGAAGGCCTACATCCCTTATAGATCCTGACTTGTTAGGCTCTCATGGGGAGTAAATTTTTCCTATCTCAGGGGTGTGGATTACTTCATCTGAGGCCCTGACCAGAGTGAGGCAAGAGGCCTGTAGTCACAGAGCCTGTAGTCATAGGTATTGTAGCTGGGGTGGGCAGGTTAGGGAAGAAGGGGTGACCAGAGATGACCAGAATGTGGAACAGGCCTGGACAGAAGGCATCTTCTCATCCTTTTTTATTCTGCCCTCCCCACCCAGGATTAGATTGACATACCAGAAATTGCTTCTGTGTTCTCAAGTTCCACAAACCTGGCAGTATAGCCTTATAATACCATCTACTACCTGGTCTTGTGCTTTTTTTCTCAGAGAAACTGGGCATGTTTCCCTTGAGGATGAAGACTCCAAGAATAGCTCTGGGGCTGAAGGGGTAGTTTTAGCTGAGCTGGACTTTAGAATTTTACTAGGAATAAAGATAGACTTTACCAAGCCTAGTAACCATTTAGAAGACTTTCAGTGAAGAGTAGAGTCCTGACTATCCTGAAGGTTATTGCTAGTTGGGCATGAATCAGCTTTTAACCAGGAATGAAGCAGCAAGGAGGGGCTAGATATGTGATAAGCCAGTACGGTATAAGGGAATGATTATGACTTCTACATACAGGCTTGGTGGCCTTAGATGAGTCCCTATTATGTTATATGGAGATTTTGGAATTCATCTCAAAGAGCAATGAAAGAAAAGAAAAGGAAAAAAAAAATCTAACATGATTCTTGGCATATAGTAAGCACTCAGTAAATGGCAGGCTCCTTTAAAATTTCAACTTTTCATGCCCTGGCCTGCACTTTAGGGATCCTAGTCTCCCAGTTAAACTCTTGGTGTGTCCTTGCACCTTGTTCTCATTACTCCTTGTTTACATCTCAATGTAGGGTTCATCTGGGAGCTGAGAGACCCAGACAGCACCCCTCTTCCCTATCTGCCTGGATTCATCCCCGCCTTCAGGTCCTGTCACTGAAGGTACGAGGACCCAGCTTCTCACTTTTTATCCTCTCCCCCCAAAGTCCACTCTCCAGCCACAGATGTCATCAGAGGATGCAAAGAGAAGCCCAGTAGCTCAGCTTCCCACATAAGTGAGATTGTTGTTAAGTGCTGTCAAATTGGTTCCGACTCATAGAGACCCTGTATAGGGATTCCGAGGAGCGACTGGCGGGTTTGAACCACGACCTCACGGCTAGTAGTGCAGTGTGTATCCTACAGCACCACACCAGGACATTAAACTGAGTTTAAATGGTAGAAAACCTTGGGAATGTGATCCATAAAGTAGCTACAAGGAGACTGTATTCTTGTCAGCCAATTCCACGTTTTCCATCTAGTTCTTTCTGTTTTTCCTCATGCCGGGCCTCTGCTTTTGTCCTGGACAAACTTGTTCCAGGTCTTGTATTCAAGCGGGTATGCCAAGGTTGTATATGCTATGTTCCTGTTCACGTAGATACTTTCAGCTCTGCCCAGGCGCCGGCAGAGCTACGAAGTACCAGTAGAGGGAGATATAAGCACACCAGTATGTCTGCTGGGCTCTTAATAGAGAGAGCGGGTAGGACAGGGAGGGTCTGAGCTATGGGATGGAGCCAAGATATAAGCAAGTAATCGAGGAGGGGCGGGGAGAATGGGCTAGCGCTTGAAGACAAAGACCCAGATGGCGAGGCAGGAGTCCAGCGTCTCGGGGCAAGGCTTTTTGCATTTTCAAAAGGTGTTTTACCCTCGTGGTCTTTCTTTATTAAGCTGTTGTCTCATTCCCGTTTACTTATCCCAGGACCTTACCCACACCTTCAGATGGGTCACTTTAAATCTGGGTTCTAGGCATCCCATAGGGCTATACCTAAGGCTGAGATCCTGAAGACCTCATCTCAAAAGGCAAAGAACTTGCCTTTCCTTCCGGATACCGTACTTTACCCTTCTGGGTCTCCAGCACCCACCATAGTTGCTTTTATGTCCAGAATTCCGGGTCCAAGTGCCATCAGACAGTACGTTGTGAGAGACAGGACGGGGAGCCGGGAGGTTATCCTTGCCATGGTGGTAGGCACATGCCAGGATTTCAGGGCTCCTGTATGTGTAAAAAGATAATGGAAATACTTTCCTTGTGTGCTTGGGATAGGACCTGCCTGGTGCAGGTCAGTTGGCCAGGGTGTGGTGAGGCTAGCAGGCCAGTCGCTCTAGAAGAGCTCCAACTTCCTCTGGGCAGGTCAGTTGGCCAGGGTGTGGTGAGGCTAGCAGGCCAGTCGCTCTAGAAGAGCTCCAACTTCCTCTGGGCTAAGCGCTCTGAAGACTAGACTAGGAAGGACCCAATCATAACCCCAGGAGTCACACACTATGATTGCTGCCTTCTATTGCGCAGCGTCTTTAAGAGCTCCCCTAAACCCCGCCCCCTTCCTCTTCTGGGGGCGTGGTATGAAACAAGGACCCCGCCACAAAGCTTTCTATTGGATAATAGGAACAGGGTTGGCCTTGAGTTCGCCTGAGTAGAGGAGTAGACAGCTCCGCTGCAACGGAGGGTGTCTGTGTGCTCTCGACAGCAGTGGGAGGTGGGTGAGGTTTGCACTGGCCACAGACCCTCGGGAACAATCGCCGCGGAGCTAGGACTTGGCGACGTGGCTGCCCGGCTATCCGGCCAAGGCTTTAGAAGCGCAAACTGATGGGACTGGCTTGTCCGGCAGCGACAGCTTCCTATTCGCTCTTCCAAGAACAAGGAGCGGGTCCAGAGCTGAAGTAGAAGCTGTTGGGGCGCGGGGTGGGGGCGCTCAGCCCTGAGTCCCATTGTGGCCCGGAGGAAGGGAGGCCGTGCCTGGGCGACCCAGTCGGGAGCCCAGGGATCAAGTTCGTGTTTCGGAGAGATCTCCACTTCTGCTCAGGAGCGCCGGTCCCGGGACTGTGGAGACGTTGGGGCGGTCACCAAGTCCTCAGCTGGGATACCACGTAGGGGAGAAGGCGCACAGTCCCGTAACAGTCTCCTGCAGCCGAGTGGAATCGGGCGGGATCGCCCGGGGGCGCAGAGCCCCCGACGCGCCTAGTGCTTCGGAAAGGCCTGGGAAGCGAGCTCTCGGAGGCCGCAGCCTATGCCCAGGTTGGGGGCGGCTGCCTAGTGAGTCCTCCTGGCCAGCCGGGTGGAGAAGAGCGACGCCAAAGCTGGAAGGAGGGGAGCACTGCAAGGCCGGTAGATGAAGACGATGGGCCCCTGAGAGACTCGGACAGAACGCGGCGCGACACAGGAAGGCTAGTGGAGCTTTGCTGAGTAGGCACCAGGACATCCCAAAGTGCAGCCTGCCCCCCAGAAGATGGCCAGGCCTGGGCAGCGTTCGCTTGGCAAATGGCTTGTGGCCATGGTCGTGTTGGCTGTGTGTCGGCTTGCCACGCCACTGGCCAAGAACCTGGAGCCCGTGTCCTGGAGCTCTCTCAACCCTAAGTGAGTAACTTGTACGCTCCAGTCCCAGGGGGTGGAAGGCACGCCTTCGAGGTGAGGCCGCACGCTGCGGAGTGCGTGTGGGGGTGTTTAGAGAAGGAGTGGCGCCCCATTTTGTTTCTTGGGTTTTTGTTTGTTTGTTCTTATTGTTTTGTTTTTCAGTATGTTTTTCTGCGGGCGGGCGGGGCAAGGTGAGGCGGTGTGGGGTGGGAGCATTTGGCGGGGTTGTGACCCCTTTGCTGCCTGTCCGGGATCAAGTCGAAATGCTTGCGCCAGGCGGAGCATGGGAGTCTGGGCGCTTGAGAGCACACCCAAGAATTGGGTGGGGGCGAGAACTCAGCCCTCTCCGGGGGCCCCTGGGAATGGTCTTTGCCAAGAACCGCTCCCAGGTCCAGCTTGACCTGGGTCGGGGAAGAGGCCAGAACACAGGTTCCATTGCATAGTTGTGGATCCAATGCAGCTGGGATCCCGCGCTGGGGCGGGTGGGCTGCACCTATATCCCCACTCTGGCTTCTCCCATTTTCATTTTTCTTTCTTCCCTGTTTGCCTCCCTGGCTTTTCGCTTTTGCTGCCTTTTCTTGCGCCCCCTCCCCTTTTCTCCCAGCCGGGGCAGTGGAAAGGCGGGCGCTGTTCCCAGGATCACAAAGGCGGCGGGCGGAGAGGGGCGGAGTGGGAGAGGGTTTGTTGCTGGAGTGGGGTGGGGTGGGGTAGGGTTGGGGTGTTCGATCCAGCGCTCCTCAGGGGTCCGGTAGAGCTTCCAGGGCCTGCCTGAAAGAGTGGTGGCCAAGCCTAAGAGGGAGGTGGGTGGAGAGGGAGCTATTCCTGCCCAGGCAGATCCTTTGCGCCCCTCCCCCTTCTCCCCCTTCCGCCCCCTAGATAGGGGCGCTGTGCTTAGTTTCCCCCAACTCCTTAGGGGACAGCTATATCGAAATCATTTTATTTTCATTCTCCTCCTCCCCCTTACACCCCACACATCCAACAACACACATCTTTTAGGGCGGTGGCTCATGGGTTTCTTGGCTTTTAGTGGAGAGTCGCTGGGACTGTTGTGGTGACCTCTGGACTTTTTCCTCTTTTGTCATCCAGAACTCAGGTTGGAGCCCAGGGTCAAAAATCACTCTTCCTCCCTGTGACACCCCCTCTTAGCGGGAAACTGGGGGCCTTGGCCTGCCCTGTCTGTACCTGAAATCTCTTCCTGTCCACTCTGCTGTGCTCCTGGCTAACTTCCTGGGTTTCTGTCTGCCTTGGTCTCTTGGGTCCCAGGAGTGGGAGGTAACTTCTTTAGTTCTCTTTTTCTTGGGTTAAGTAGGGTCCCAGTACTTACTGGTCAGTGGGATAGCTTAACCAGGGTCAGGGTAAAGGGCTCCAACTTTGTGCAAGGAAAGGGACTGGCAAAAATGTCTTCCCAAAGGCTTTGTGCTGCACTCTCTTAACAGCAGGGGCTCAACATGGTCTGGGGGTCCTGGGTTGCTTAGCCCAGGAAGAAAGGTTGTGAAGTGCCCTGTTCCCCCCTGGTAAGGGTGGAGGCTGGTAATGCTCTTTCATAAACAAGGAGAGCAGAAATCTGCCTGGGGTAGCTCATCATAGGGACACATGGGAGTGACCTAATTGCTCTCTCAGGTCTCTAACTAGAGGTAGCACACTCCACAGCTGGAAAGGAGCTCTCCTGCAGAGTGGGTGGTGGTGGTATCTGATGGAAACAAGAGCTGTCTGTACTCCCCCCTTTTTGTGTTCTGAACATTTTGTGTTCTGCACTGGTTTTCAGGTTTTGAGAAGTTGCATCCCCTCTGTTCCTCTCTATCCTCAATCTTGGGAGGTGGCAGTGGGGGAGGCTGGAAACTCAGAAGGACGGTATGAATTCCATCCTGTAATGAAGCAGATTCTGAGACTGTTTAGGGACTGATCTTGGTGCCACCAGCACCATCCCCTCCCCAGAGTTCCATCTATGCTCAGATCTGGAATGCGGCCACTGTGTGTGTTGGGTTGGGGGGGGGGG